CTTTCTCATTCTTCTCCCTTACTCTCCTTCTTGTTCAATATCTCCTTCTTCCTCAATCTCTATCGTTCTCTAGTTGGTGTAAAGATCACATTATTACTTGAAAAAAGAGAAGAAAAATAAAGAAAAAATGCATTATATATGTTTTTTATTATATAAAATATATTTTTATTAAATAATACATTATAAAGCCAGGCTCGGGCTCAGGCCGAGCTTTTTTAAGAAAGCCTGAGCTTGGCATGAAAAAAAGTCAGGCCCAATATTTTAGGCCTGAGCCCGTGGGCATGAAATCTTGTTCAAGCCCGACTTAGATCGGGCCGGGCCGAGCTGACCCATTGGGCTAYCCAGCCCATGAACATGTCTAATTAAGAGTCCTATGTTGGCAACAACCACATAAGACTCCAATGACATGGCGAGGGTTTTTATAATTTGAAATGTAGAGCCGGTTGTCAAAGTTTTGTTGGTTTATGAACCAACTTGTAGCCTAGTTTTAAATGTACAACTTTCTCCGATTATAATTTTCCTTAAGTTAAAACTAATGCAAATGCAAAGCTATTTTATTATCAAGGTGGGCTAGTGATCCGACTTTTCAAATAAATTAAATCCATGATGTCACATTTAAATAATAAATATTTAATTTATTTTTAATCATATTGTTATTTTTGTTAATTTTCAATTTCTATCTTAACTATGATGTATCTAAAATTCAAGTAATTAATATGAAGAAAAATTTCTCAATGCAATGCATGTGCTTAATTACTAGTAAATAAAAATATGTGGATACAACTTTAAATGAAACAGATTGGCAAAATAGGATTCATGTAACTGATCCCATATATTTGGGATAAGACAGGGATGATGATGATGTATTTTTGCTTTGAAAGCAAAAATAAGTTGTTTTTGTTTCAGAATTAAAACAATACATCATTTTGAAACCACTGATTTTTAAAATAAAAATAATTTTTATAATATAGAAATTATATAATTTATAGAACATGATATTAAATAGTCGGGGTTGACTATGATACCTGAAATACATCATATCTGAAATATTTATGGCCAATCAACCGGTATCATAAGTCTATCAAGCAATYAGGTGGAATTTATCAAAATGCATTGGTGAGTTTTGATTGATCAAAACTATTCCAGTACCATGTCTTTTTGGCGTCATAGATTTTCCCTAATTAGACAAATGAAAACATGTTCTTTAAACCAATATTTCGAAAAAGAACCTAGAACTATGATTGTTTTGGCCACCGATTTTTGGGTCGACGGTTTGACCATCCGATTTGAATGGATGACTCATTCTAAAAAAATTAAAATAAAATGGCCAAAAACCATTGGACGGGTTGATGGTTTGATCGCTGGGTCAATAGGTTGTTGATTGGTTTAACAATTTTTGGCCAAGGACCGGGTATGAGATAAAACAGAACCAGTTGCGTGGACAGTTCTTGGGCCAAACAGTCCAATCATCCGGGTTAATAGCGGTTCAAAAGCCATGCTTTAAACAAAAAATTCAGGAACACATTTCTTTTCTCAGTTTTGAAGACCAAAAACACATCTATAAGCAAGAACTTGATTTCTATGTTTTTGTGTCAAAACCAATTTATTTTTAAATCAGCTGGTTTTGTATTGTTTTTAGAACTTAAATACATCCGAGAACGCCCCTTAGATGTGTGATTCCTTCTATTTTAACTTGTCATTATCTGTACATAAAGGTGAAGATGACAAACCAAGGGAATGTTTGGCAAATATGAACGCTTCCATTTTTTAGAATAAAAGCAATTGCTGATGTGGTGCAAAGAAGTTGCTTTTTGTTAAAAAAGAAAACAAAACCCATTCATATTTCTTTGTTGGACACCCTCAAAATTATCGGAATAGGCCATAGACTGTTTTGGAGCTTTATGGGGTTGACACATTTGCGTGAATAAGGGGTAAAAGAGTAATTATAATCAATATTTTTTAATTAAAAAGACAAATAAAGAAATTAGTGGGATAACGTGTCATTTGCCCCAAAACATTTCAGATTTATTTTTATGGGAGTACATTGCAGCCCAATGTATGGTGGGAGTACATTGCAGCCCAATGAATTTGGCATCAATCTACAGTCATGATTCATCCCCTGTATGGTGGGATTAAGAATTCTGAGCTGAGCTAATCGGTCATTCTCCCAAATATGGACAATTGGACATGTGTCCCTACCATATAATAATAACTTTGAAAATTTTTTTGACTATTAGGAAAAAAAACAAGGGAGACTGACTGACATTCCAATAGAGTTTAGATTTGTGGCCCACAATGTCCCACAGCACATCCCCGCTGTGTATCGAGAACATCTCTCAATGATAATACTAGAATCGATAATGGAGATATTCCCAATACATGGCAGGGATGTGCTGTGGGATGTTGTGAAGGCGCAGATGTGAACTCATTCATACATTCCCCTTGCAAAGCCAACAATTCAAATTTGAATTTTTTAATTTTAATATTAAGATAAAAATATACCAATGATATATAGAGCCTTATTTGTATGGTGAGAAGAAGCAGCCGTGTAAAAATTCCCTAAAAGCAGAAGGTGACACAATAAACACATGAATCCTGTATACCCATCACGCACCCATCGGCTACTATCAAATTAAGCTTCCATGTGAATGATGCTTCTTTTCTAACCTAATATATTTCTCTGAAGAACCTTGCATTGGTATCCCTTCTTAAAAAAGCCTGAACTTTTCTTGTTAGTGGGCCGGTGGCCTTATGATGGTTCAAAGAATAAAAATAAAAGTAAATGGTTTATATCATTCCTTTTAGACGGAATATGCATTTTTTTTTTCAATTGGTAAATGAAAATGAGTTTAGCCCAATTAATAATAATAATAATAATAAAAATAATAAAAATAATAATAAAAAAGAGTTCGAATCTACCCCCACACGTGTCCTCCCACACGCATGCACGCGTTAACTCCCATTTCACCCAAAAAAATGAGTTTCTCTCTTTCAAGTTCGAATCTTAGTCTCTCACTCCTACCGGTGTACCCACTAAAAGTCAGACCACCCTATCTCCTCTCCTGTCGGATCTTGCCGAGAAATTCAACGCTGATGATCGTTCCGGCAGATACACTGAAGGTAATATTCTTCATCCCTCTCATCTCAGATATTCTCAAGTATGCTTTTCTCAGTTTTTTTTTTTAACTTTTTTTTTTTTTTTTGCGTAAAAGGAAAGAATCGCGACAGATATAGGTGCTGGCTCTGGTTAGGACTCAAAGGCTTGAAACAACGACAACAATGTCTTTTTATATCATCCCCATAAACTTGATTATGCGACTTTTAATTTCGACAAACTAACTGCTTGTTTTTATCTCTAAATTATCAGCAACAAGGACGACCATAGAAAAGGATTCAGTGCCAACCCTCTAATCTTGAGACATTGAGTTGCTATGTCTAAATTATCAGCAGCAAGGACAACAAAGTCTTCAGTGCCAACCCTCTAATCTTTTTTTGGAGAGAGCCAACCTTCTAATCACAAAAACGATTGTGCTCTGTTTGACCCACACAATTATTATGGTTTAATTAATGCCATCTTCATTCTTTAGGCTCAGTTTGGAAGGAGTATAAATATAAATATATAGAATGCAAAACCTTGTATTTTCTATATATTATTTTATATGTATTTACACTGTATATATTTGCATTTGTATTTCTTCTAAATTGAACATTAAATAACCATGAAATTTATTCTTATCTTTGCATTGCGTATCAGCCAGCATTCCATGGTTAAACTCAAATAAGTGAATTTAGAGTGGAGTATTGCAGGAGGAAGAGAGAACAGATTGGAGAATATCTGCCGGTGATTCTTCCCTTCTGCATTTTTTCTATTGCAAAAAAAAAAAAAAAAGTTAAAAATCTGAGAAAAACATATTCAAGAATATCTGTGGTGAGAGGGATGGGGAGTTCCGATGTATCTGCCGGAAGAATCATCGGTGTCGGATTTTTCAACAAGATCCGACGGGGGAAGAGATGGGATGGTCTAAGTTTCAGAGGGTAGGTGGATGGGAGTGAAAGATTGAGGTTCAAACTTGAAGGAGGGAAACTCACTTTTTAGGTGAAATGACACACGACGTCTTCTAAGTTCTAACTAATACTGTGGGATGTTTTTGGGGCGCAAGCCAATGGGGGCAGATTCCAACTCTAATACTAATAATAATAATAACCACCATCATCATCATCTTTTTTTTCTACATAGCAAATTAATCTTCTTTTATATATACCCTACAAAGAATACAGGGAGGGAATTGAATTGTTCCATCAATTTCCTCCAAATGGACTTTGATATAATCACTTTTATGGCTTTGATGCAGTGAAAATTTTTTAGTTTAAAAAATGTACTACAATTAAACTCTTATATATCATTCATTTAGCCATATTTAATGGAAGTAATTAAGTTAGACAATCAATAAATTGACCATAATGCCAGGTAAGTGATACCTTCCTCCACTTGGGCAAATCACTTATCCACCCACTAATCATGTTGGTAAATGCTCTTTTCTTCTCACCTCACTATTTAGTGTACAACAACACTAAAAACATGTTTATCCGAGCAAACACTTAATTACCTAGAATAACAGGCTTACCCATATAAATAAAAAACAACAGGGCCTAATAATTCTTGATTGCATTACTACTTTTTTTTTTTTTTTTTTTTAATTTTAATTGAGAAGCATGAGCTAAAACTGCAGTTTCACGTGAGGACTTCCTATTGAAGTTGGTGTTTGCAGCGGGAGTATCTTGCGTTCACATATTATGGTGTCGTAACTCGTAAGCATTTAACTGGACTGGTGTGGGAGCCCGGAGCGGCGGAGCCCACAACTGTCTATTCTATTCTCCGTCTCACCGTCTGTCATAGTCTTTTCACGTGCGATTTTCATATTCATTAAACACGTGCACTAAATCTTCCACACGTGCTTTTTTCCCTTTTTTTGTTTTTTCTGCGTGCGTTCCGTATAAAATGGTAAGAGTAGTCTTCCTCTTTCAAACGTCACGACTCACGTCAAGCCTATAAAGTCTTCTCTACTATCCTTTTGTCTTCTCCCATCGGTGCTGCTTTTTTCTGCAACTCCTCAGACTTGCTCTTGCTCGGTCTTCTACATGGACATTGAGGAGTCTTCCGCTTCTTCTTCTTCTTCCAGCGAAGCAGCAGATGCTACACAGCTGCCTTCCGATGCGAGCTCTCGCTCTCCACCGGAGGTGAGCACGCCGGCTGTGGTGGTGGGGCACAAGAGAAAAGCCGGTAGGAAGAAGTTCCGAGAGACGCGCCACCCTATCTACAGAGGTGTGAGGGAGAGGAAGGGCGGAAAGTGGGTTTGCGAAGTGCGGGAGCCCAACAAGAAGTCGAGGATTTGGCTGGGCACCTTCCCTTGCCCGGAAATGGCTGCCAGGGCTCATGACGTCGCGGCATTGGCTCTTAGAGGGAAGTCAGCTCCGCTCAATTTCCTCGACTCCGCCTGGCTTCTACCTCGTGCTAAATCATCCTCCGCTACTGACATACAGATAGCAGCTCTGGAGGCTGCTGAAGCCTTCAGGCCTGTGAAATCTGCTTCTGCTTGCACCACCTCATCCACCTCATCTGCTTACTTGCCTCAGATGGTTATTAATAGAACGAAGAAGGTTCCAGAACCTTCCACGACGTTCTTGGATGAAGAGGCCTTGTTTAATATGCCGGGTCTGATTGACAGCATGGCGGAAGGGATGCTTCTCACTCCGCCAGCTATGCAGAATGGACTAAATTTCGATGACGTTGATTGCCACGTGGATTTAACACTCTGGAGCGACGTCTAACGTACGTGGTAGTGCTCCTTCCCTTTTGTAAATTGTAATCTCCACGTAACTTCCTTTCTCTTCTTTTATCTCCTTCGATCGGTTATTATTCCTCCCAGCAGCACTATCGGCAATCTTCTTAATTTGCATTCTTCATTTTTGATTTAACTACCACTTTGGTGTAGATATTAATTAAAAATTGTACTTCTTTTTCTATAATAGGTTACGAAGAAACAGGATTCATGTAGACGAGACCATATAATTGATGTGAGACATGCATGATGATGATGGTCTCTCTCTCTCTCTATATATATATTCATCATTCTTTTATATTATGGAAATTCACTGAAACATGAATTTAAATATGGACTAAAAAGAAAAAAATACATGAATTTAGATTTGTGAGTTATGCCGTTATGCTTTCATTGTCTTTTAAATTGGGTACAAACCAAATATTATATAGTACAGATAAGAGTTTTATGAATGATCTAGAGCCCTTTTTTTTAAGGGCTGAAATTGTTTCTATTTGTCCAAATTTGACTTTGAATATATTAAGGGGGTGTTTGGACAACATGGTTGGTTTTCTTTTTGAAAACAAAAAATAATTACCATATTAGCAAAAATACAATTTTGTTTATCCCTAATAAATTAATATAATCATCTGAGTTCTAGTTTTAATTGGACCAAATATGAAAAACATATGATGTCGGCGGCGTACGGGTGGAGGAGCGCTGCAAGGTCCCATTCTTCATTGGTAAGTACTCTGATGAGGTATATTGTGATATTGTAGATATGGATGCTTGCCATATTTTGTTAGGGAGGCGTTGCCAGTTTGATACAGATGCAAAACACCTGGGTAGGAAGAATACCTACCAACTCGAGAAAGAGGGTGTATGTTACACCTTAYTACCTATGGCAGAAAAGAATACCCCAAAGGCCCAAAAAACAAATGAGAAAAATTTCCTTACTATTACACATCACCACGCTGAATTTGTAAAAGAATGTAAGGATACCCACGAGGTCCACTTGTTGGTAGTGAAGGGAGAAAGTGTGAATGAGACACTGGAAGAAAATAAAATTCCAGTGGAAGTGCATGGACTACTTGATGAGTTCCATGATGTAGTTCTAGATGAGTTACCTAAAGAGCTCCCACCCATGCGAGATATACAACATCATATTGATTTTGTTCATGGTGCTAGCCTACCTAATCTACCACATTATAGGATGAGTCCTAAAGAAAATGAAATCTTACGGGAAAAGGTAGAAGAATTGTTGAAAAAGGGGCATATTCAAGTCAGTATGAGTCCTTGCACAGTACCAGCATTGTTAACACCAAAAAAAGATGGAAGTTGGAGGATGTGTGTCGACAGCAGAGCTATTAATAAAATCACTATTGGCTACAAAAGTCCCCATTCCCAGGCTGGACGACATGCTAGATCAACTTGATGGAGCTGTAGTATTTTCAAAAATCGATCTCAAGAGCGGGTACCATCAGATCAAAATCCGTCCCGAAGACGAATGGAATACGACCTTCAAAACTAGAGATAGACTGTTCGAATGGTTAGTCATGCCCTTTGGACTAACCAACGCCCCCAGCACCTTCATGAGGCTAATGAATTAGGTACTGCGTCCTTTTATTGGGAAATTTGTGGTGGTATATTTTGATGACATTTTGATTTACAGCAAATCTATCACTGAACACATGGGACATATCAGGGAGGTATTAAAAGCATTAAGGGAAAACAAATTATATGCTAATTTAAAGAAATGCACTTTCATGAGCGATAATTTGTTGTTCCTAGGATTCATTATAAGTAAGGATGGAATCAAAGTGGATGAAGAGAAAGTGAAAGCCATTAGGGAGTGGCCGACCTCATCAAATGTCACAGATGTAAGACGTTTCCATGGGTTAGCAACTTTCTACAGGCGATTTATCAAGCACTTTAGTAGTATTGTAGCTCCCATCACTGAGTGTTTGAAAAAATGAAAGTTTCAATGGGGAAAAGAACAAGAGCAGAGTTTTGCCCTCATCAAAGAAAAGTTATGTACTGCTCCTGTCCTTGCCTTACCAAGTTTTGCTAAACTATTTGAAGTTGAATGTGATGCCAATGGAGTAGGCATAGGGGCTGTATTGTCCCAAGAAAAGATACCCATTGCCTTCTTTAGTGAAAAGTTATGTGAAGTCAGGAAGAAGTGGTCCACCTATGACAAGGAATTCTATGCTGTAGTTAGAGCATTGAAAACATGGGAACACTATTTAATTGCAAAAGAATTTGTTCTTTACACCAACCACCAAGCTCTTAAGTATCTCAGTAAGCAAAAACAGTTGATGAGTGATCTGCATGCAAGATGGTCTGCTTTCCTTGATAAATTTCCATACAAAATTATGTATAAGTCTGGGCAGCAAAATACAGTGGTTGATGCTCTTAGTAGACGTGTCGCCCTCATCAAGACTCTCAGTGTTGAAATTGTGGGCTTCGAGTGCTTGAAAGACCTATACGCCCAAGATGAGGACTTCCAACAGACGTGGGAAAAATGCATGAATCGATAGCCAATAGGTGATTTTTACCTTCATGATGGGTTCCTCATGAAAGGGGAACAACTATGCATCCCTTGCACCTTCCTCTGCAAAAAGATCATCAGGGATCTGCATGGGGGAGGATTGGTAGGACACCTTGGAAGAGACAAAACAATTGAAGCAGTCAAGGGGCGTTCCTATTGGCTGAAATTAAGAAAGGATGTGACTACTATTGTGAATAGATGCTATATCTATTAGACAGCCAAAGGACAGGCCCAGAATACTGACTTCTACATGCCTCTACCTGTTCCTACTGCGATTTGGGAAGACTTGTCCATGGATTTTGTGCTAGGTTTGCCAAAAACCCCCAGAAATATGGATTCCATCTTCGTAGTGGTTGACCGGTTCTCAAATATGGCTCATTTCCTCCCATGCAAGAAGACCACGGAAGCAACAGCGACAGCCAAGTTATTTTTCAGAGAAATTGTCCATCTACACGGGGTACCTAAGACTATCACATCGGACCGACATACGAGATTCCTAAGTCACTTTTGGATGACCCTGTCAAGGCTATTTGACTCCTCATTGAATTTCAGTAGTACAACCCATCCGTAGACGGACGGACAGACAGTAGTGGTGAATCGAACCCTTGGTAATTTGATTCGYAGTATCTGTAGGGAGAGACCGAAGCAGTGGGATTTCGCCATAGCACAAGCCGAGTTCGCCTACAATAATGCAGTCCATAGCTCTACAGGTAGGTCTCCGTTTTTCATTGTCTATATGAAGGTTCCTAATCATGCACTGGACTTAGTGAAGTTACCCAGAGTACCTAATGCCTCTGCAGAACAGCTGGCAGAGCAGATCTAGTCCGTCCAAGACGCCTTAAAGCAGAAACTGGAGCAAACCAACGCAAAATACAAGATGGCGGAAGACAAGCATCGTTGGCACCAAGTGTTCGACGTTGGTGATGAAGTTATGGTGTTCTTGAGGAAGGAACGGATTCCCGTGGAAAAGTATAACAAGTTATGTCCTCGGAAGTACGGTCCATACAAGATCATGAAGAAAATCAACGACAATGCTTATGTCGTGGACTTACCAGATCATATGGGTATCTCTAAGACATTTAATGTTGTTGACCTTCATCGTTACCTACCAGAGATGACACTTGCATATTCCAGTCACGACTCGGGGTCGAGTTCTTTCCAAGTGGGAAAGAATGATGGAGGGCCATCACATCATCTAGGCGACAGCTCATCAGATAAGAGGCACATGCAGGATAAGGATAATTCCAAGATTCAAGATTCAAGATAATTCCAAGAAGACAGGATAACCCATGCATGGATAGATCCAGGGAGATTGGACGGTGGAGATCGAGGCAACCTCACAAAAGACTTCGATCCTCGCTAGAAGATTAGATGTTTAGATCACTTACAACTTTTCTTTCCTAGTTACTCTACAATTTTCCTAATGTATTATAAATACAATTATTTCCAAGCTAATAGACATTTAGTTTTTCGCCAACTTTTCTCTCTCTTCTAGAGATTCACGTATAGCTCTCATCGGCTTCTCTACTAAGCCTTGTTTTCGCCCAGTACTTGCATAGCCAGCCTGATTTATTGCTTCCACGTTGCGTCAGACAATTCCAATCTATGTTGTGCACAATGACAAACTGACAATAAAAAATTATAGAAAAAAACAACGTCACTCTTAAATTCCTCTAAATAATTCTTCAAACCAACTGAACAGTTCAGAGCTTCAGGCGGTTTTTTTTTTATTTCTTTTATTGATTTTTTTCCTTTGTGAGTTTGTGTTCTAGTTGAACAGTAAACAGTGTTACAGTGAAATTTGAAAACGGCTCTTTGGTTCTCGGTTCAGTTCTTTTTTTTAATTTTACGTAAAACAGGTTATAGGAGGTCGTCAATATCACTGTAAACCATTTTAAGTGTTTGACCCTTGAACCCTTAGACCTGTGAGTCTGTGACCATCCAAAAGGGTAAAAAGTGAAAAATCTTGTCAAACTTAGTCTCTCTCAAGTTATGAAAATTGATGAATTGGGCTTTGCTCGAATATTTCAAAAATTCTGGGAGATGTGTTGCTGTATTCATCAATTTCGAAGTTTCTTTACAGTTTCGGCTTGCATGCTAATTAGGAGTTCAAGAAAGTAGGAAATTGGCTTATATGCTTCAGAAAAGTATAGGAAGCAGAAACAATCAAAATTCTCTAATGGGTTTCGCTTAAATTAATACTTGGAAGTTGAAAAAAAAACGATAGTAAAAGCCATGGGTTAATTATTCTGAATCACTCACCACAAGAGATGGGCCTAGCGTTATGGTTGCAGAAGGTCCAAACAGACTTTTATCCCTAAATTCCCACCCCCAACTACTAATACTTTCTTCTCGTGAAATTCTAGGATGGTGGCCTTTCTCTCTGCGTTCTCCCACCACCAAGATGGTTTTTAAAATCGACATTGACATCGAATTGGTCAGGGGTACACTTACTAGGTTGAACGGTCGGCCTGTTCTGATAAAAAAACAAAAAAAAATTAAGAAAATAAAAACCAGTCAAAACCGTTCGAACGGTTAATCGCCCGGGTCAGTGGCTTGCTGACCAAAATCAATAGTTTTTTTAGAAATCCCAGTTTTAGGGAAAAATGAAACCGATCACTTGACCGGTTCTCGGTTTTTCCGATCTGGTCCGATTTTGAAAACCATGCCACCAACCACAAACTGATACACATACTCTCTGGGGTCTGTCCTTGAGTTCACATTTGCGCCCCACAAGGGGGCAGCCCATAATGCCCCACTGCACATCCCCATCTTGTATTGGGAATATCTCCCAATAACAGGTAGGGAGATGATGAGACATCACTGTTACTGGGAGATGTTTCCAATACAAGGTGGGGATGTGCTGGGGCATTGTGGGGCTTCCTCTTGTAGGGTGCAGATGTGAATCCGTCTGTCCTCCTTCAGTTTCATGCTCCACACACAAAAAAAAAAAAAAATGAAAACAAACAAACGTTGTGATCATACTTGAACGCTTACGTAATTTGAACCGGTTAATGTTAGACTCCAAGTAGGCCATAAATTAGAGGGATACGGGAAATGGCGTCAGAGGCAGCTTACAGAATAGATTTGCTTCGCAAGATAAAGTAGAACTGTAATTAAGTCTTAAATACACCAAAACCTGTTCATGGCCGGGTTAGGTTTTGCCTCTAAATTAATTAACAGAAAATGTTTATTCCAGAATCTGAACCTGGCCCTTATATAAAGCCCAAAGCCTGGGTTGAGCATAAAAAGTTTTACCTTTGTGTAATTTAATAAATTAATATGATATATTATTAATATATTATTATTATATGTAATATTATTAGGCTGGATTTGGGCTTTGGTTGAACTTATTTAAGAAAACCCGAGCCTAGCCTGAAAATAGTCAAATCTGATTTTAAAGCCCAAACCCATAGGCCTAAAATATTGCCCAAGCCCAATAAAGCACAGGACAGCCTGTTGGCTATCCGAGCCCATGAAGAAGTCTAGTCCTGAACTGCCATATAAAGTTGGGAACACCCCTTTCCATAAGAGATACCATTGTGGGAAGCCCCGGTGGACTAACAGAGACGATTACCAGACTTGGTTGAGATGGAATCCCGTTGCAAAGAAACTAGAGGGACTAAGGAGGGGCAAAATTGGAATTACGATAAATACATGATGCATTTGACATCACGTTTAATTGACCTTTGACATCCCTAAATACAACATGGTATATTCAAGTAATTTACCCTAAATATATTAAAGCATATATATATATATAATTCAAAATTTTAATATTACAGTGTATTAAAATTTATCAATCTGGAGGAAAATAGATTATAAACACATTGATGATTGCAGAGATATCATTTCACAAATCTCCCACTACTCAATTTTTCATGTTAATAGAAGGTGTAATAAGTGGTTGTTCATAGATTAGAGATCACATTGATGCCCTATAGAGTGCGCTCTACAGTACATCCCAACCGTGTATTGGAACTATCTCCCAATGGCATGTATGGGATATATTCCCAATGCATACTGAGACGTTCATGTGGGGTGCAGATGTGGACTCCATAGACTTGCAAGACATGCTTTATCTCTTTCCAAACCTTGTACAATTGTACTTGGTCTTTACTTGTTTCTTATGTGATTCTAATTCCTAAGCAGTTTAATGAAATTGCCATTTGGAGTCAAAACTGATAAGTTACCTAATATATAATAAGAATTAATGGCTCTGACAACTCTTGTATTATTTGAAAAACGCAATTTTGCCCTAGACTTCAAAGAAAAGGCCAACCGTAAGTAGATAACGTCTTGTGTTAGTAATACTATTCACAATCTGTTAAATAATGAATAAGATAATAGAAAAATGTTGATGTAACACCATTAAACTCAAAATATTGAAAAATTGAAGTGGGTACCGCTAAATAAAATAAAATTATTTAATATATAATTAATAAATGTCAAAAATAATATATAAGTGAGTCCCACTTGAAATTATATATGGGTCCCACTTGAACTTTCCTCTTTTCAGAGAAAAATAATAGGTGAGCCCCATTATAACTCCATTCAGCCAAGAAAAAATGTGTCATCCACCTGCTTATGGGTTCAACTTTGGAACTCTATGGTCTATACTATATAATTCATGTAGGAATGACAATTTTCCCTATCATATATATATATATATAATTGCTTATATTATATATATACCAAAATATATTAAAAACATTTTTATATTTTAAAGTATTTCTGTTATTTTAAGTAAATCTATTTTCTAAAAACATTTTAATTTAAAAATTTCAGAGACTTGGGTTCTGGATGGGGTACCCATCTCTATCAAGGATTGGTGATGGAGGGTCATTTTTATCCCTGATGGGATTGAAGATAGGGATTTGTTTCAAAGTTGGGATTAGGGATGGAGAATATGATCCCCACCCCGAACCCATTCCTAAATTCACGTGTCAATAAATTGGGCTTAAATCCATTTGTAAGTGGATGCCATCCATCTACATCTTAATCTAGGGGGGTGTTTGACAACATATTTGGTTTTGATTTTCCAAAAAAGAAAATGGATGCCATCCATTTTGTATGCATTTGTTTGCACCTTTGACGCAAGATTTACACTTTTTGTTTCTTGGTTGCACCTAAAAAATTGACACAAAATTTGTACCACCTTCCTCCTGATTTTATTTTGTACGGGGCGGGTTTGGGGCAGGGACCATACTCCTTATCCTCAATCCCGATTTTGAAATAAATCCCCGACCCCGATGGAGACAGGTTCCTGATTGAGAACCCAAATCCCTAAAATTTTTAAATTAAAAGTGTACTTCAATGCAATTCTTCTTAAGCAAAGAAAACACGAAAAACTTTTTTTAAGCCCTAAAGTTTACTCTAGTGGAGGGGCCACTATCTTAAAATTTTATAAACCATTACCTAAAGTACAAAATGCTCTCCTTCAAAAGAAGATAAAACTTGAAATAAAAAGTAAACTAAAATCTTCACTCTGCTCATTTGCATTCAGATCCATTTGCACTGCAAATGAGCAGAGCCTTAGTTGACATGCTGTACAGTGTTATGGTGATAAGATAGGATCTGGAATACAAAATGAACAAGATGGTCTTGTTTGAACGCAGCCCATTCTAATTTACATTGCATTGCTGATAAACTGCTTTGCGTTTGGGCAAATCCGGATCTTTTTAATAATTTAAGGGAAAATTTTAAGCTTGTGCCACAGGCTGCATTTGGTAACATTGTTATATATATATCGATGTAAACACAAATTTGGTCAAAATATGAGAATGTAAACTTGGTTCAATTGTGCATCGATAATTTTGTATTGTATTTGATTGTGATGGGTATAAATACAAATATCAAGACTGGAATTTACCATTTTTACATTCACCTAGCTTTGAGTGCAAAAGTTTGATTCTACTTTTTTTTTTTTTTTTTTGAGTAGCCTGGATTTTCTACCCATATGTACCCACAACACACTAGAGCTGCACATTTTAGTATATTAAAAGTAAACTTTGCTCCTATTTTGAATGTAAAGCTGTCAGGAAAAAGAAATTTAGTTTCCGTAGAAAGAGTTTTTCTTACCAAGCATTCAAGCAACTGGAAAAATGAACTGAAATATAAATTCATCTTGGTTCTAATTAAAATTCACATCTTACGAAACACAGCCCTCTTTTTCACACTTCATAATTGATTTCAACCATGAAATTAAAATATTTGGCTTCCAAGTACATATAATTGACTTGGGTTAGCTGCCGGGTTTTGGCCCATGGAATGCTTTTCTGGTACTCTGTATTTGTGGCAAATGAAATGTAGACTGGTAGGTGACCAATTAAAGAGGTCACGACCTAATACTATCTTGAGCAAGGTAGATGAAGAATATAGCACAATCCCAGATAGTGGGGTTAGGCGAATACAGTTCCATTAATTTGTTCTCTGTATATATGGCCGAATACGGTCTAGGGCTTGATAGGATGTCTATTTCATTCTGACCAATTCCTTTATCCTTGAATATTTGCACTGCGAGAAGGATTAGGAGATGATTCGACAACCACAAAACTAATTTATTGCTCTACAATATGCAATATGGTTCACCGTTCCTGTATGACTGTATCTACCATTCCAAGGAGCAAAGAGGATTGGCTGCTGGTTGGTTTTCATGAGAGAGTGTTGTACACGTTGGAGTTGGTAGCTAGATAGACAAGCTATGGATGATCCATGGGTTTCGAATGAAAGAACAAAGGTTGGAGAAAATTGAGATGGGAAGAGAGCAAAACCAAGAAAAGGAAGGAAAAGACCAGCATGTCATTCATATTATTTCTGAGGAGGTGAACAAGGATAGATTAGCTTCCTTGCAACAAAGGATCTTACAAGCGCCGCAGCTTCTAAACAGTTTGGCCGGCAGCCGCGACTGTTGCATCTTTAGAGTTCCTCAGAGCCTCATCGATATCAATGGGCAGGCCTACCAACCTCTTATTGTCTCAATAGGCCCTTACCACCGTGGCGAAGAACACCTGAAAATGATTGAAGAGCACAAATGGCGCTTCTTAGGCTCCTTTCTTTCTCGAACACAAAGGAGCTTAGAAGACTACTTGACTGACCTGAAGAAATTAGAGGAGAAGGCAAGAAAGTGTTATTCAGAGACCATTAACCTCGACAGCGATGAGTTTGTTGAGATGATGGTATTGGATGGGTGCTTTGCGATCGAGCTTTTTCGCATAGTTGGGAAGTCTGTGAAAGCTTCCCCCAATGACCCTCTCTTTGCCATGTCATGGGTGCTTCCTTTTCTCTTGAGAGACCTACTTAGGCTAGAGAACCAACTTCCCTTCTTTGTTCTCCAACGCTTGTTTGATCTATCAGAAAAGGAAAATATTGGTCTCTCCCTTGTCACACTTGCCTTGTTGTTCTTTGACTATGCCTTCGAATTCCTCGACTCTGCAGGTCGAACACTTAACGATCAAGTAGTTATTGACAAGTTCAACAACCTCCAGGGAAAACATCTACTCGATTTATTCCGCTCAAGCTTCATCTCAGAAGCTGAAGAAAAGCTGAAGAACGACACCCCGAAAAACAAAGTCGCCATCCCAGCATCTCAACAAAAGCAGATGAAGAAGAAGAAACCCAAAACCCAGGTGATTCAATGCGTAACAAAGCTCCGCAAGGCGGGAATCCAGTTCAAATCAGTGGAAACAGGTAGTTTTCTGGATGTGGAATTCAGAAATGGGGTCTTAAAAATGCCCAAGATAACAATGGATGATTTCATGAGCTCGTTCATCCTCAACTGCGTCGCCTTTGAGCAATGCTACAAGTACTGCACCACACACATCACCACTTACGCAACTCTAATGGACTGCTTAATTGACACAACCAAGGATGTTGGATATCTTTGTGATTATAATGTTATTCAGAATTACTTTGGAACGGATGCAGAAGTCGTTGGTTTCTTCAATAATCTAGGGAAAGATACGACGCTGGACATTCAGGATTGTTACCTCACCAAACTGTTCGACGACGTGAACCACTATTACTACAACAATTGGCATGTCTACTGGGCGAGCTTCAAGCATACATATTTTGATACTCCATGGTCGTTCATTTCAGCGGTAGCTGCTGTTGTGCTTCTTCTCCTAACCATGGCTCAGACCTTCTTCACCGTTTATCCTTATTTTCGTCCTCCTAATTAAGGAGTGAGACCAGAGAGACAGGTACGTAGTACTAAATGCACACTACCTGATACTTAGACCCCATTAATGGCTATTAGTTTATGAAACCACTAGATTATTGCGGAGTATAAACGCAGATTCTACAGTAGTTTATTATATCTATATTAATTAACTGGTACCATGTAAACAACATAGTGCTATAATCTTGCACACTAATTTAGACCGATAATATATAAAGGTTGCGCCTAAGAGAAGTACTTACACATTTTTGGAAAATTCTTACATGCATGGATGCAACATTTACAGTCTAGATGCTTTTCTGGATCCATGAAACATGCTTCATAAATTACAGTTTCAGTTATAAATTAGTATTTATGGGTAATTGGTTTTTAATGATTGTTGAACAAAGGCTTAAGCTGTGTTAGGTGAGGTCACTTAAATAGATTTTTATTTTTTAACATGACCCCTCATGTAAAAGCTTATTGGGTTTGAAGCATGAACAAGCGCATGACCACCTATAACTTTGATGAAATTTATTTAATTATAATGAGGGTGACAAGGATTGAAACTAGACGACTTGGTCAAAAAGGCTATAATACCATCTTAAAGAACAATTCAATTTAAAAGATTAAACTATTAGGTGAGGTCTCTAAATAAGTTTTTATTCACTTACATTGGCATGACTTGTTTGTCTGTTGACATTGAATTTGAATCAGAATATTACCCAATTAAGGTGATCTGAATTTGATATGTTTACAATTAAATCAATTATTTAAACATTTTTGTTTATGGATTGAGTATAGATTTACTGCAATTTGATTTGATAATACTTAAACATTTATTTTTATGCTTATATCTAAAATAATTAATATGTATCTATCATTGAAGTTGGTTTTAACATTGTATCGCTTGGTGATGAGTCATAGGCCCAAGTCTCAATAAAAGTTATTTTGTTTGTGATACATAGTTCCAAACAAATTTTTAAAAGGTTAAAGGCAAAGACAAGATAGCTGCTATGTGCCGAAAAGGTGAGGTGTAAACCTCAAATTATAAATATAATTTTTTTTTTTAGTTTTTAACTTTGTATGTTATATATAAATACAATGTATGTATGTATGTATGTATGTATGTATGTATGTATGTATGTATGTATGTATGTATGTATGTATGTATGTATGTATGTATGTATGTATGTATNATGTATGTATGTATGTATGTATGTATGTATGTATGTATGTATGTATGTATGTATGTATGTATGTATGTATGTATGTATGTATGTATGCATGCATGTATGTATGTATGTATGTATGTATATATGTATGTATATACATGCACACAATTTATTTTATAACAAAGTTACGCTTTATGTTATATATATATATAACATGAATCTTATATTTTTTAATTTTTATTTTCTTTTTTGTTTTATGTTCATAACCTTCTATATCTAAATTAAATAATCTATACATATATTAAAATTATTTGTAATATTTTATACATTTAAGGATACAATTTATTTATTATATATCAAGTTTTCTGTTTATATTGATATTTAGTTGTCTTAAAATTAATCATATGTTTTTGGAATTTGATTTTTTACTTCTTTTGTGGTCATAATTTACTAGAATAAAATAATCTATTTATTTAATTTGAATATTTCATAGTTTATTCATAAAACAAAATAAATTTATTTCTAATTTCTTTATATATTTTCAAATACAATTTTCTTTTCATATTTAATTTATACATTTACTTTCTATTAAATTATATTTTTTTAATATGATACTTTTTCAAATTTATTTTACATATATAACCTTTTTTTGCATAAATAAAATAATACCATTACTTAATTTACATATGTGATTATATTCTATTTTATTTTTCTTCATTATAACCTAATTTATAACTGTTGAAGAATTAAAACTAGCAAAAGGATCTACCTTCGGCTGGTCGGCCTAATAAAGAAAAAATTGTCCGTACAAGGGTATTTTGTTTGAAGGTAATTAGATTAGGGCATCAGAAAGAAACCCTACTCTAACAAAGTAACATATGTACATTTCGTAAGAGAAAATAAATGAGATATTTTTGGGTTAAAATAAATTTATGAAATATTTTTTGGTTTAAATTGTTTTGTTTTATTTATAGACAACTGAATAATCAAGTTTTCTTGAATTTTAGGGAGTGGTTATAACTTGTTTATAATAGTTTTTCTTTTTATTTTTCAGTTTTAGTGCTTTTTATATGCCTCTTAAAAATAGATGATGTAGCCTATTAGCATAGGGGCAAGGCACCGAGGCCCAGTGTTTTGGCTCTGTCGTAGTGAATCATCTCAAAGCCTTAAAACCATGGTTCTAAGTTTTTTTTTTTTAATAACAAACAAAATTTTAGTTATTTCTAGTTTAGTTTTATTAAAAAAATTGTTCCATATCAATCTGGAATCCAAAATTTTAAATTCAATGAATTAGATTAATTATATTCTATTCTAATCCAAATTGCTCAATTTAAAAATCCCATTTTACATGAAGGGGGCGCTTTGTAACTCATCCTGATCCAGCTGCTATTGGAGGTTTGTTCCACTCCACCTTGGCTCATTAACTTGCTTGCGCCCAATAATTGCAGGAGGTCGTTCCTGTCTTTTGCATCAGTCTCGATCGGTTAAGCATATTCAAAGGCATGAGACGAACCAGGCTGCTTATACCCTTTCTAAACTTGCGATTGGTTGCTTATACCCTTTCGATCGATTGAGGAGGCTCTCAACCATGTGTTGCCCATATATATATATATATATATATATATATATATATATATCTCAATGATGTTTCCTCTAATTTTTTCAATGCTGGTTGAATGTGTCAGAGAATAAAAACCTATTAGAGACTTTAACTAATTAACATAGTTTAAATTTTTATATAAGTTGAACGGTTGAGATGGTACCAAAGTTTATTTAACCAAACGGTATGTGCAATTACTATCAATTTGATTGTAATTAATTAAATTTTAACACAAGATATGGGTGGACTGGACTTGTATTTCTCCACGCTTCAATGAGTTTTCACCTGAAAAGACGTAAACCTATTCACTATTCAAGAAGCCCATTTCCTACTCACTTTTTCTATTCACTCTCTACCTGCAATGAATTATTGGAGTCCACACCTCGATGTGTGGCTCCAATTCACAGCAGATAAAGAATGGATAGAAAAAATGAGTAGAAAACCCCCGAGTGCTGAAAGGTTGTTTGAAAATGGAATTGGCCATAGAGCTAGCCTTTCATTCAATTCATTTAATGGAGAAAAGCAGCTAACTATATATCCACGTAGCACCAAAGCATACCATGCGTACCTTTAATCTTAATTTAACACGAATGTTCAGGAATCGAAAACTTTGTCAACCACCCACCTATATTGATTGTTGACTTTGTCAAGGGACACTTCTTGTCTGTCATAAAATTCCACGGACGACATTTTCGTCAATGAGATGAAAGCACATCGAGTAACTTGTCACCACAAATATTGCGGAGCTTGTGGATCCATAACTCCAACGAGATATCTAGATAAGGGTGGGGGGACCTTTCTAACTCGAATCAAATATATAGAAGGCTTAAATCTTCCACGAACCAACCCAGAAACTTGTTTTCATACTTCCGACTTCCTCATTCCAACTTTGAACTTTGATTTGTTAGCGCTGTTGAATATTGTAACCCTATCAGGCTATCACCTTCTTTCTTTCGGCCGGTGTATATATATGGTTCTAAACAGTCCTGAACAATACAAATGTACTCCGATTAGCTTCGATTGTAGTTTCTTCACTTTTATTTGTTTAATTTCCGCAGAGAGTAATACTAATTGGCTGCGGTTTGCCTTCCCAAGCTCTCCTTCTAAAGCACTGACAGACAAAGCTGTTTGAACTGTCGAGCTAGTGTTTCATCTGCTTCTTTATTCTGCCAAAATTTATAAGATATGTCAAGCGATTGCAAGGAGTGGGTATCGGAGGAGCTGATGAGCTCTTCTCAAACCTCAAGTCATGAGCATGGTGGTTGTGATATCAATTCGCAGTTCTACTCCAAAGCAGCTGATGAGAGAACCCCATATCATCAATTCCTTCAACCTGCTGCAGCTTGTAACGTGAATGTTTCTGAGACAAGGCAACGGCTTCGTCCATGCCAAGAAACCACAAACTATTACTTGAGCTCAAAGAGGAGAAGAAGCACATTAAAGAAGGATTACAGGATTTGATGATGAGAGCTTCAGCCAAACTGACCAAGAAAGGCCCTGAAATTCTTCCCCAGACCTTACCCAGAGCTTCATCAGGAAGGGATTCCTCACTGAAACTTGAGCGTTTCAAAGTACGGATTCTTAATCTGGAAGGCACTCAACAAGATGACCAACAAACAAGAGAAATCAAATACAAATAGTCAAATTTTGTTTAATATAATGTAAAGTAGTAGTGATGATGTAGCAAGAAATTAACCATGTATATTCTTTTTTTTTTTTTTGGGAGGTGGGGGGGAGAGAAAGAATYCCCTTGTCCATTCTTCAATTGGCAAGGATGGGCCAGGCTCGAACCTAGTGGTATTGCGTTCCTCCAGGCTCATCAAGACCCGGTAAGTAGGTTCCCAGCACAAACTGGGCCACTGGACCTGCAAGTCTGGTCCAAACTGAGCCTTAGTATAAGATCTGGACTGGGCTATTTACCAAGACGGCCAAAGAAAGGGAGGTAAATATAAGTGTATAACAGTTTAAATATTTTGTATTTATTTTATTTATGTTTGCATAAATTATGGGTAAAGATATAATCAAATTTAATTTTTATGATCTGCATCAAAATCAAGGCAAGTATCCATTTTATAATAGTATATATAAGATTGTTTTTAGGAAAAATCTATGTTACCATGGTAGTAGAATAATTTTGATCAATCAAAGCTCCCCCGTAAATTTTGATGAATACCACCTGAATGGTCTTTGATTGGCTGCAAGCTCTTTTCCGTATCATGTGTGTTTCCAATATCATGTCAACCCTACTTTAACATTAAAGAGTAGGCTTGGAGTAGGTATGCTAGCCCGTTTGTTGAACGAAAAACTCTATGGGGATCAGAAGCCTTTCAGTTTGCAACTCAGTTCGGGCATATTAAGAGGGAATATTGCAATGAAATAACATTGAATGGTTGTTGTGATAAGGATGAGAGAGTATAAATTAGGATAGAGTTTCAGCTGAATAACGATTTTTCAGTCGATGAGTATGTAATTGCAATTCTCCAATTCTATCAATGAAATCTTTTGAGCCTTCTCTGATTTTACATAGCATCAGAGCAATTCTATCAATGATGTATCTGCTAAGAAAGGTATTAACTTCTTGATCACCAATTGCAGATACTTGAAATAATCATGATCTAGTTAAATATGGAGAAGGTGAAAACTACTTTTTATAATAAAATATAAACATGCTATTAAAAATAAAAAGTGGACTTACAAAAAAAAAAAAAAAAAAAAAACTGCACTGCTCTTCAGCCCAGCCTACCCCCAAATCAATGGTGAAACCATAAAATCAATAATTTTCACTTAATGCATTCAAAGAAGCTTTTGAATTTTATATCCGTTTTGTGTTGTAGGAACATAGTTCTGCAATCAAGCTCTCATAAGTTATTAACTATTTATGTGTAGCTAGACAGCCATGGAGGAGAAAATTTTCTATGGGGATTTTTATCTTTAGTTGATAATATTTTGAATCACACTAAGATGGTATGTTGAAGTATCAATATTTATACTTGGTTCTTAACATTGGAAATTGGGAAAATAAGGTGTCTTGCACAATTGTTTATTATAGTGTAGAACACATAAGCATCACATACGACACTCAAAGTGGAAGAATACTCCTGTTGGAGGAAATGCTACAAAAGGTATTTCCTCTAGAACCCCTAAATATGCACAAAACCCAACCTGATGGAAAAATGTTTGAATTTGAAATACCCAATTAAGCATAATTTTAGAATCGGAAAGTCAAAGTGCCTACATAGTGCTTATGTGTAAGTTAAGACCGCAAATTTAAGGCTATGATCCAAAACATACCCTAAACCTTTTTAGCTCAGTTTGCAAAGAGTGCAAATATAAATATGTTTGGTGCAAAATGTTGTATGTGGTGCAATTTGTATTTGTAAACGGTGTTACAAATATGTTTGGCAATTGTTCAAGGAACTCATTTGGGGCTCAGCAGTCAAGACTCAAAATGAAGCTACTCACCTTTTTGCCTTGAAAATTTAACTTGAAAAATGAAATAACATTAATTTAGAAAAAAGGAAGCTCGCTTCCAAAACGATGAACAAGTTAATAAATGGATTTTTTAGAGGAGTTCCACTCTCATGTACGTCAAATATAAGACTGTGGGAGAACCTCCTTCTCAAGTAAATGTTTAACCTAAAAGCATGATCCTTTAGGTGACATATCTGAATAGGTATTTATTCTCTAATATGACCCCTTACATTAAAGCCCTTTGGGCTTGAAATGGAGACCCGTTTCAGTCAGGACAAATCCATGCCCATACCGTTCTACATCATTTTTCAATCTTGCACTGGAATATTTCCCCATAAAATAAAGCATACAAGTATAGAGATATTCTCAATGCAAGACAGTAAAGACTGCCCGAACAGAATTTGCCCTGATTGAATCCAAACTTCTTGAAATGTAGGCAAGTACATGTCTACCCATACCTTATGCTGAAATTTAAATAATGAGGCAACAACAATTGAACGCTAGACCATTTGATAAAACTGAACAACTATTTGACAGTCCAAATTGATTTTAATTACACAATTTARATAAGAGAGTTTAAAGAAATCATTCTTAGAATATAAGTTAATATTCTAAGTTAAGAACAAAAAATAAAGAAAGAATGAATGAATGAATTATTTTAAAGTAGTATTATATATACAAGTATGTACACTACAAGAGTATTTTGATTCTAGAAGGAATTATAGTGATTAAGAAGCCCTCCCAATAATGATTCATGTTTTCAAACCTAACATTCCTCACTCGTCATTTTAGGTAGTATCTGATAGCTAGCCTGAATTAATTAAATTTCCATGATCACAACTCACAAGGCGTGGCTTGCTATAACGAAGCTTCTAACCTACTAGTCTCCCTACTTGTTTAGTTACATATAACTCTCTACTGTGGTTTTAAATTCATTGTGATAGCCCAAATAATAGTTGGCTAATTTATCTATGCTTCTAACCATGTGATTCCCTTCTCACCTTCATCTCAAACGCCCGGGGCAACTCTCTCGTCAAAGGCCCTTGTCATTTTATAGGCATTCCTTGGGCTGTGTTTGGTTTGAAGGAAAAGATAGGAAACCTATAGAAATCCTTTTCATATATACCTTTAACTTTTCCTTCAAACCAAACACAGTCTAATTAATTAAAAAACCTTAAATTTTGGTAAAATTCGGATTTCCTGCTAACCTCTTTCTCCTCTCAGGCCACATGTCCCTATCTGTCCAACTTCCCAACAAGCGTTAACTCTCGGTTGATTAAATTATTTTTTAGTTCCCTAGTTACTACAATTGCAGAGAAGCTTTAATGCACGCTAATTATTACAAAAACAACTTGCCAGCTCCAATCTCTCACCCCTGTCAAACATTACAGGTCTAGAATAACTCGGCCGGAAACCCCACTTAAATGCAACTTTGTTTGCAGAGGACGGCAGTGCCGAAAACCAAGAAGGAAGGGTGAAGTGTCAAATCAGAAAGATAATGCAGATCGTTTTGTCAAGGTTT